TGGAGGAAGTCGTATTTGCTGCGGTTCTCGGTCGGGCGAGCGTTAGACTTGTATTACCTATATATATATATATATATATATATATATATNTCTCTCTATATATATATTTATATTATTCATCTTGAACTTATATGAAGGTAATTTATAAGATGATTACAATTACAAATGACACATACAGTTAAGAAAATATGATATTAAACATTATTTGATATGAATAATTTATATTAATTCCATTGAATTCTAAGATCATGGGATAATAAACAATATTAAAAAACTATACGAGAACTTCATAAGCAAGTGGAATGAAAATCTATCATCTAATCATCAAGCACCCGCAATGCTTTGGGTCTTTTAAAGAAAAATCAAGTGTCATATAGGAAATAAACTAAGTCTATAAAAAGATGTACTCCAATGCAATAAAAAGTAGACTTGGTCTACCTTATGTGGCACAAGAAAAATGAGACCAAGCCCACCCTTGGGTATATTTTGGACCCAAGTACAAATCTGCCTAGTCATCAATTGTTCACAATTTTATTTTATTTTTAATAGGCAAAACATATTTTTTTGTATGCATTTATTATTATGATATTTTTATTGGTCGTTGGGTATACTGGACTTAGTACCCTTTTTTTTTTGCATTGAATAGATTTTGAATTCTTTATTTTAGTTTGTCCATGTCATTATGGACTTAAGTCCAAAATGCTTTGGGTCTCTTAGAAAAAATCAAATACCATGTAGGAAATAGACTTAGTCTATTACAAAATGTCTCACAATGCAATTAAAAGTGGAACTAGTCTAACTTATGTGGCACTAGAAAAAAGAGACTAAGTCCACACTTGGTCTATTTTGGACCCAAGTGCAAACCCACCTAGTCATTAATTGTTCACAATTTTCTTTTTCTTTCTAATAGGCAAAACACATTATTTTTGTATGCATTTATTATTACTATATTTTTATTGGTTGTTTAGTATTCTAGACCTAGTACTTTGTTGTTCTGCATTGGATATATTTTGAATTTTTTAGCTTGGGTTTGTCCATGTCATAATGGACTTAAGTCTATTTATTTATCACATATGCAAAACGAGACCCAAAGCATACCACATATGCAAAAAGAGACTCAAAGCATTGTGGATGCAAGAGAGAAAGAAAAGAATTAACGCATGTGTATTATTCATTAATTTTTTTATTTATTGTTTCCATTTTTTAATTTACTGTTTCCTTTTTTTTCATTAGAAACTCATTGTTTTTTTAATTTATTGTTACTAATGCTTTAATATTGCAAACTTATTAATAACTCATACTATTATTATTATTATTATTATTATTATTATTATTATTATTATTATTATTATTATTATTATTATTATTAAATCATTCACATGATTTTCAAATTAATTATTTTTCTTTACTGCAAAAATTGTACAACATCTGTGTAATACACAGGTGCTTGCTATTTTTTTTTTTTTTAAATTTAAAACTAATGAGAAAAGTAGTTGGAAAGTTCAATATCTTTTATAAAAAAATATATTATTATATATTTAAGTATGATACTTGTTCCTTGTGCGACTTATCTGTGTTATATTATAATAATTTTTCTAACTTATATCATATAACTACATTAAACATAAATATATTAATTTAGAAATGATTTTATTTTTCTAATTAATTTAATAAATAATTTTATTATTATTTTAAAAATAAATATAATTTATTTATTTCATATATACAATATGGATATCAAATCGAATTTCATCAAAAGATGATTAATTTGATATATTATATATGCAAAACCGATAAGAAATACAAAAGTTACCACTTTTCAAAATATGTTTAAAAAGTCAGGGATATATTAGTCACTTAGTGCCGCACTAGGTACGATTACAAAGAATTAAAGGGTTATATTAATATAAGTGTTATGAAATTACTTAAATTACATTAATAATATATATGAATGTCTGAACCTAAGTTATGGAATGTCCGAACCTAAAATTATTAATTTATAATATCAATATTAATTGTCTAAACTAAAATACGAAGCATGATTTTTCGTCAAGTACGATTTTGAAACACCAGAAGCAACCACGTATTCTCAGTGCATTCAGAATCTATCTATATATTAAGAGAATAACCTTTTAAGGATTCTTGCCAATTTTTCCCGCCAATATATGTATATATAATCACCCGCCAATATATGTATATATAATCACCCGTCAATTTAACAGTGTCCTAAAAATTAGCAATTGTCTTTCTTTTTTTGGTAGATAGGGTAGTCAACAGCTAATTTATTGGGTAGATAGGTAACAAATCGACTGAATTATTGGGTAGAATTTGTTATTCTCTTTCCTGTTTCTTGGTGTCAAAATAAATAGCTGTAATTATTTTTGGTATCAAAACTAATAATTTTCAAATTGTGTGTAATCAAATATTTTTAGATGGAACACCATACATTCGGTATGATTTTATTAAATTAGACTTATAATATTTTAGATACTTAAAACAAATTGTTTAGACATTTTTTTACATATTCGTCTATATATATACATATACACATACACATAATTGATGTTAAATTTAAATATATGTAGACATGTTTTATTTACAAAATTGTCCAGAAATTTTTTTTTACACAATGTTAAATTGAAATGTTTTTAGATATGTTTTTCTTCTAAAATTATTTAGAAAAGTTGTAGGTGATTTCACATCTTTCAAAAATAATATAGAAAAATTTGAATACTATTACATATACTAATATAATATTTTAGGTGTTCTTAATATTAAACATACATATTTTATATTCTCTTATACAAAATAATGTAAATTTTATATTCTATTATACAAAATAATTTTACATTGTTTGATCCCGAATTTTTAATTTATAATTATTAAGTATTGTTTACTCTCATCTTTAATTTATAATTATTATTTTTTTCTTTTTTTTTAAATAGGATCAATAGTAATTTCCACTTCCGCCATTGAGTGACTCAAACTCGAGATTTCTTTATAATATTATTAATTTAATATTGTTCCCGTGCATCGCACGGGGTGTACACTAGTTATATATAGGGGAGGGGGATTCATCCAAAGAAAAATTAATCAAGAATTAAAAAAGAAAAAGAAAAAAGAAAAAAGTGGGTGTAGTATTTATAAATTATTTGCCGATGTTGACTCACGAGTCGCGCACTTGAAGTTTCCACGCCCAGTCAATCCAATGAAAGAAGGCGGCATCTACATTCTACACCACATACGAAGGAGTCATCGATCTAATAACATTAACAACATCCATCAAACAAACAAATATGACGATGATGATTATAAGGCTCATAATAAAATTAAGGGTCTCTTCTTCCATTACTCTTTTCCTCCTCCTCCTCCTCCTCCTCCTCCTCCTCGATGCCACGTCATCCACAATTGTCATCCACAACAACTGCCCGTACACCGTATGGGCAGCCGCGGTCCCCGGTGGAGGCCGGCGCCTCGACTCCGGGCAGAATTGGATCTTGAACGTTTCAACCAGCACAAACGGCCTACTGTGGGCCCGGACCGGCTGCTCCTTCAATGCGTCGGGCCAAGGGCGTTGCCAGACTGGCGACTGCGGCGGGCAGCTAGAGTGTGATGTCCCCGGCGCAGCCCCCAACACACTAGCCGAATATGGGCTCGGCCAGTTGAGCCAGGATTATTTCTACATATCTGTGATGGATGGGTTTAACGTCCCCTTGGAATTCAGTCCCACCACCCCTAATCACAATTGTTCGACTTACGGTGTAGGACTTAGGTGTGATGCGGATATCAACGGCCAGTGTCCGAGCGAGCTGCGTGCTCCTGGTGGCAGCCCCTGCACAGTTTTCAACACAGAGGAGTATTGTTGTTCTAATGCAACGACAACCAATTGTGGGCCGACGACATATTCCATGTTTTTCAAGCGAAGGTGTCCAGATGCTTACACTTATCCTAGGGAAGATCCCATAAGCAACTTCTCTTGCGCTTCAGGCATCAGCAACACTTACCGCCTGCGCTTCTGCCCCTCCCAACCTCTCCTTACCCGCCCAGGTACATTACTCATAAAATCAATTTCCTCTTGGGGCTATATCATTCTGTAAGAACGTTTTTAGTTTGTATTTGCAATTACCAGTTCAATGTCATTTTAATTCGGACCTTGTTTTCTCATATCCAAGCTATGCCTCCTACGCAAATTAGTCCTTCCTATCCTCCTGAAAGTGAAAGTGGCCGTGGCGGTGGCGGTGGGGGTCTTCTTGGTGGTGGTGGTGGTGGTATTATTATACACATGATATATGTTCAATTGTTATGCTTTTTTTTTTTTTCCTTTAGGTTTTCAGGTTCTCTGTTAATTTTGTAGGCTCATCAAAAGTCGATATCGGACGACTAGTGGGTAATTCATTAATCCTTGAGCTACTCTGATTTAATATCATAGTCCCCTTTTTCTACCCTGTCTTGCCTCAATGTCAGATATGTATACATATTTCAGGCATCATAATGGGTGCAGTTACTGTTGTGAGTGTGTTGATTATCGTTACCATAATCTGTTGCATTAGAAGAAGACGTTTACGAGGCCATCACAACCTAAATGTTGAAACATTTCTACTCCAGCATGGATCTCTGGCTCTCAAGCGCTATAAATACAGTGAAATCAAGAAAATGACCAAATCCTTGAGCGAGAAGCTAGGACAAGGAGGATACGGCAGCGTGTACAAAGGAAAGCTACCCGATGGCTTCCTTGTTGCAGTCAAGGTTTTGACCGATACAAATAGCAACGGAGAGGAGTTTATTAATGAAGTCGCCAGCATCAGCAGGACCTCCCACGTCAACATCGTCAATCTCTTGGGTTTTTGCTTCGACACACAAAATAGTACTTTGGTGTACGAGTACATGCCTAACAAATCTCTTGATAAGTACATTGCTGATGGATCACTCGACCGCTTGGATATCGAAACACTTTATAAAATTGCACTTGGAGTAGCCAAAGGACTTGAGTATCTGCACACGGGCTGCAACACCAGGATTGTTCATTTCGACATCAAGCCTCAGAACATTCTTCTCGACCAAGACTTTTGTCCCAAAATCTCCGACTTTGGGCTGGCTAAATTGTGCAAGAAGAAACAGAGTTTGGTGTCGGTGCTTGGGACAAGAGGCACGCCAGGGTACATTGCTCCGGAAGTCTTCTCCAGAAATTTCGGAGGAGTTTCGCATAAATCGGATGTTTATAGCTACGGGATGATGGTTCTTGAGATGGCTGGAGCAAACGCTCTCATCGTGGGCCAATCCGATAACACCCAGTCGAGCGAGAATTATTTTCCTGATGGAATTTACGAGCGCGTAATAGATGATGTTACTAGGATGTCAGCGGATGGTATTACTATTACCACACACGAAGACGTAACTTCTCGGAAAATGCTTTTGGTAGGATTTTGGTGCATTCAGACAAACCCATCGGACAGGCCTCCAATTTCAATGGTTGTGGAGATGTTAGAAGGGAGTTTTCAATCCATACAGATTCCTCCTAAGCCCGTCTTGTTTACTCCTGCTCTGCCCGTCTTACAAGGTTCCTCGTCATTTTCGTCGTATGTTGAGACGACAGAGCATTCGTCTCAAGCTGCAGTTCAAGCATAGGTACAAAGATGTAATTGTAACTTATCAAAATATTGAGTTTCATATTCAATATTGTCAACTATCTGTTGTAGGTAATAAATAAGATAGGGAGATGAGCATGTTCTAAGTTCTAACCACTAGAAGAAAGATCAATTTTGACATTGGATGAATGCATGCGGGGCTTGGTCAGATTTTGTTACAAATATATGCGGCGCTTCTATTTTAATTGATCTCTTCTTTGCAGTCTATGGACATAATGCATTTGACCGACTAAAGGGAGGAAAATGGTAAATTTAATCTCAAAATAACCTTTCACCTAAAAAGCTTTATAAAAGAAATATAAACATCCATAAACTAAAAAAGAGACATTTATGCCCTCATGTATTAAGTGTTACAAATACTAGGCATAAATATAAAAAGAAAATTGATAAAGAATAGAAAATCAAATAATAATATGCTTATGTTTTAAAATTTTGAAATATGAGTAGTACTAGAAATACATCCCTTTGAAAAAATATTGAAAAAATTCGAAATAATCAAGAAGTAAATCTTGGAATACTCAAAAAAACAAGTAGAAATATTGAATTTCTAGATACTCTACATGCATAAATTCTTAATATTGCAGCAAAAGCTGATAAAATCATAGAAAATATTAATAGAATTAACATAAATAGATTAGAATAAATCCTAATAAAATTAGACGAGAAAATTCCACAAATTGAACTGTTAATAGAAAATCTAAGCAAAGTAATTTTATTTGTAAATCAAATTGGAGAATTGGGATTAAATACCTAAAACTCTTGAAATAGGAAATGTACAACAAATACTAACAATATAGTTAGTGAAATAAAAAAAAATGTTTTAAAAATAGAGTAAAATATACAACAGTCCGATTCTAGTAACCAGAATGTTAAATTATTAGAAATAGAAAGGTTTTACAAAATACTAAAGGAAATAAGTCTATCTCCAAAAGAATGGGATCTTAGTAATTTGTTTAAACACGGAAGAAAAAGATTACCTTGAGAAAAATGAATAGTGACACTATTCTATTCAAAGTGAAACTGATATTCAGTCTCTCTTAAACAAATATCGGAATATATTATTTTTAAAAGAATTCGTTGAAAATTATAGCAACTCCAGTTCAGAAAGTGAAAATTTAGAACCAAAAGATCGTATAAATGTTAAAATTGAAGAAGATCTTAAGGATATTCCTCCAGAACCAAGTGATTATGGTGACACTCATGAGTTCATGACTCCTGAAAAATACATGAATGATGAGTTCTATAATCTAAATGCAGATATGTACTTTGGAGTATCTGATGAAGAACATTCTCAGAACTAAATATTCCAGGAATGATGAATATGAAAAGAAGCAAAGCAAAACCTTACACGAAAAATAAAACAAATAATTATAATCTGAAGGAATTTATTACTCAAGATAATTCTAATAATCACAGTGATGACATACTCAATCTAGATTTTTTGACAAAATCAGTTGAAACAATAAAAGGTTGGTATAACTATATGTTAGTAGTAATACAAACTAATAGAGAAGCGTTTGAAGATCTAAAAACACTAAAAACACATTTAGAACTTCATATTAAGGTAAACGTTAGAAACTGGTGGGATTCAAACCCATACGTTCCAAGCCTTAACGCTCTTTGGAATAAACCAGAAGACAACATAGTATATCTAAATGCCTTGGCTAATCTACTCGTTAATGAATTTGTAGGAGTCAAAGAATAAGATAACACAAGTATTATGTCAGAAGAAAGACAGAAAAAAACAAAGTTCATATTTGACAATATCAAATATAAGATATTTGTTATTGGAAAAACTTTACATGTGAATATGAAAAGTGGCATTACTTGTTAAAACAAGAAGATAGACCAACATATGCTGCAAAATACTTCAATAAGCTACCACCATTGGGTTTTTGAAATGAACAAAGAATGGTCTAATAAACCTGATCATATTACAGAAGTTTTAGCAGGAAGAGTAAATCTTCTTAGAGAAACCATAGAAGATAGATGTAAAGATATTCAATTAAGAGGAACGCTTGTATACTATCAAAACAAACTATGTTGTGATCCTCAATTATCAGAGATCTATTAATATATAAAGAGGGAACGATATTCATTTGAAAGATTAAAAAAATCAGCAAAAAAAAAAAA